TATTATTATTATTACTATTATTATTATTACTATTATTATTATTATTATTATTATTATTATTATTATTATTATTATTATTATTATTATTGCTATCATTATTATTATTATTGTTGATATCATTATTGTCATTATTATTATCATTTTTATTGCTATTATTAATACCATTTCTATAATTATCATAATTGGCACAACTCTAATAATATCCTAAAATATTTTGGAAAGTGAAAAATTACAAAAAAATTTAATTACAGAAGGACTAAATGGTATAATTGGTTGTGTTACGATTGTTGGCTTAACAATTGGTAATCGTTTTGTTTTTGAATTGGAAGAAAAGAAACGTTCTGAGAATATCAGAGATAACTGCAATATGCTTTGTACAAAAGAACAATGCAATAAGGTTTAACATTTCATATAGCGAAATTTCATCAAATTAAAATAATTCTAATTTAACATTCTTACAACGATTTTACAACGATTACGTGCATCTTTTCACATTATATTGATTTCTAATGTAACTATATGATGCTATTAAAAAAACATTGGAATTATCAGAAAGATTATTTAACCTAGCAGATATTCGTAATTTCCGCAATTTATGCGGAATTTCTGGTACTTTTTTAAGTTCAATAAAATTGATACCGCAATGTAAATGTAGACAAAATTATATAGTCGATTAGGGTTAGTATAAATTATTCGGTTACCCTTTAAGGCAATCATTTTAATAGGATTATTAACTTTTTTTTAAGTAAAAATTTCAGGGTACCTGTATTGATTTATTTCATACAGCTGTATGCAATTGCCGTGGAACTTATCAGTCAGGAAAACGATGTGATGAAAGTTTGTTAAAATCATTCAGAATTATCAATTATTCAGATTTCATTGAAATTATGCAAAAACCCTTTTTTCAGCTATGAAAGCGTTGAATGTATCCTGGGATCAGTATATTTCCTACAAGATTGACAATGATGAATCACAGCCAACTGTCATATCAATTGATTTTAAGGTAATAATAAAATGAGTAAAACAAAAAGAAGGCAATAGTGACAAATTTTTTTAATGATTTTCTTTTGGAGGAATATTTGTTTAACATAATCTTGATATTACAGCTAGTGATAAATAATAATAATTAATAATAATGATAATAATAATAACTGATAATAAGAGTTGATTGATAACAATAATAATTAATGATAATAATAATATAATAATAGTTGCTAGTAATAATAACAATTGATAATAACGATAATCAAAAATGGAAAATTGGTGAATTTTAAAGCAACAACAAATTTCGATTTGTAAGAATGTAAAGTTTATTTAGCATAAGGTATTTTATTAATTAGTTAAAATAAATTTATCAGTGATAAGTTATCTTTTTAGACCAAAGTAAATGAAGGTTTAATAATTCATGGAACAATTTTATCATTTGAAACTAATAAACCAATCGGTAAGCTAAAATTAGCACTTATTTATGGACAATTACGATTGACAATTGCTAATCTTGCTGAAATCAGTTTTGATAATATCACTATTGACAGTAATAGGTAAGTTATCATCTTGATTATCTATGTTAGGATTATCAATTATTTATAATTTTCAATTTTATAAGATGATTTTCTAAAATCGTGATCAATTTATTAACAAGTACAAATGCAAAATAATTATCGTTGATAATAAAATTGTGCAATAGCAGTAAGTTGAATCAAACGTAGTATTGAAGTTTGGCCAAAAACTTTGGAATTGGTTTTGTTATAATTATAAGCATAATTATATTGATTGTTTTTATGCCAATTTTATTGATTGTTTAAAATAATACTGCAAATAATCAAAATAAAAAGTGAGAAATTTGAATTTGCCATCAAATTGTCGTTATAATAATCTGTCAAATAATATTCAAAAATTACTTCCTTTGAATTCCAAAAATTATTTTATGCTAATCACTTTTTCCATTGGATATATTTTGCTTATCAGATTCAATCAAATTTTACTGGAATTTGAATATAACATTAATTTGATTCGTATGACTTTCAATGGTAATGCAAAATCAGCAAGATTGAATATTGTAGATGATAAGGAATATCATATCAGGTAAACTAATTCATTAATATCAGGTAACATATCAAGTAAATTAATCGAATTAATTCATTTCATTTTTTCAGCAATAATTTAAAGTGATTTTTTGTCATCTATCGCTAATGAAAAATTTCTTTGATTAAAATAACTTTTGGAAATGCTTGCTTTATTTTAATAGAATTATTGGCTTGAAATTAATTTTATATCTTAATAGATTTGATGATGAATTATTTTTTTGTGCTGGCGACATTGAAGTTGGCTTGTCCGGATGCTTACGTGGAATTTACGTTGATTATTTTGATGTAATTGATGGCTATACTAAAGGTTCATCAAAGGTAATCATTAGTTTCATTTCTGAAAATATCAATGTGATAAAGTTTTCAGTGTACTAAATTACTACAACATTTCAGGTTAATGCAAACTCGAAATTGAAAAGTTGTGATAGAAGTGGTCTAATTCCAGATACTGAAATATTTCCTGTAACAAATTCCTACCAGGTATTATTGAACGGAATTACGGATAAACAAATCATTGGATATAATATTAAATCAGGATATGAATTTGAACTCGATCATGGGAGTGAACAAGTAAACAGTGAATTCGAACATCACTATGACAACCAAATGAGACCAGAAGTAATAATCCTAAAGACATCTTGAAATTTAATAAGGCAAATGAACTTGATGACCTTATTAATAAGGCTGTTAATTCGAAATTGATATAATCATCAACTATTGTTGACAAACGAAATAATTTCATACTCAAGTTTTTAGTTTCAGATAACATTATCGAACTTCAAAATATTCTTAAGTATTTTATAGGTTATAAGGAAAAATATTTCGAAATACTAATTTTCAGAAAAATAATTATTCAAATTTTTAGGCGTTAAATTCTGATGTAATTTTTAAGGCTGATGATGTTGCGTTCAAAGAAGATATTCCATGGAAAGTTATTACAGGTTTGCTAATTATCATTTTTTTTCTAATGAGAATTATAATTATTATTTTAAACTTTTCTTCGCCAATTATTCATTTTGAATGTTAACTTAATATTTATATTTTTAATTCTGAATTACGACAAAAATTTTTTGTATTAACGAAATGGATTAATTATATCAACGATTGGAAGATAAATAATTACCATCCTTTCATTCTTCTAAAATTCGATCTTTTAAAATTATCATAATGTTATTTGTACGAACTCCTAAATTTATACTCTTTCTCATTTATCTAAGAAAAGAAATCGAAACGAAAATAAAAACTGAAATTAGAATGGTTTGAATATTCTTAGCGATTCCAAAATGGAATGGTTTGAATGTTTTTAGTGAATCCAATGTGGAATGGTTTGAATATTCTTAGTGATTCTGATTTATCTAAAAAAAATAAATGGAAACGAAAATAAAAACTGAAAGTGGAATGGTTTGAATATTTTTAGTAATTCCAATTACCAATTGTATTTGATTATTTTAGGATACAATAAGTGTCGTCTTCAACTTACCTTAATTACTTCCCACTTGTCTTTACATACAATAAACTAAATTCTTTATTTTCTCATTTAAAAATTATAATAGAAAGATAATAAAATGAAGCAAAAATTTTCAAATTCTCATACTACATTTTAAAAATTTTACAATAATACCATCGACTTATCAAATTTTGTGCAACTAAAACCTTGCAAAATTCGTTAAATATAATAATAATAGTAATAGTAATAGTAATAATAACGGTAATAATAATAATAATAGTAGTAATAATAATAATAGTGACAGTAATAATATAATGGTAATAATAATAATAGTAATAATAATAATAATAATGATAATAATGATAATAATAATAATTTTCAAACAATAAAATTTTGAGACAATAAATTAAGGAATTTTAAAAGAATGTTTTTTCAGAAACATCGATGCAGCAATTTTGTGAAAACGACGAAGCGATAAGTTGTAAAAATTCAATCGAATGTAAAAAGGAAAATGGCATACCAATTTGCATATGTCGCAAAGGATTCGTTGGACCATTCTGTCAATTTTGTAAGTTTACAATAATCATTTGAGTGTAAACAATTGTTTATTTATTGTTTGAATTGAATGCGAAAGTGAAATGTGAAAATAATATTTTAGTATGAAATGATATGAATAGTATTTTGGTAAAATGTTAATACTATTTTATTAGTGAAATATTAATATTAAATATTAGTAGTAAATTATTAAATTAATAGTAAAATATTAATAATATTTTAATAGTAAAATATTGCTAATAAATATTAATAGTAAAATATTATTAGTACTAAAACATTAATAGTATTTTAGTAAAATGTTAATATATTATTAGTATTAATATTTAATAAATTAATAGTAATAGTATAATATTAATATATTAATAGTAATAGTATTTTAGTAGAATAGTATGAAAATATTTAAATATGAAAATAGTATTTGTGAGAAATAATTGTCTGATTTTAATTCAATAATAGATTGTTTATAAGAAATAACTTTTTTTTTGAAGCACTTTTACCGTGGAATTGTGATGAGATATTCCGTGATGGTAATACCATATCAGGAACGTATATCATCGATCCTGATGGTTCTGGACCACTACCAGAAACATATGCTTACTGTGAAAACGGTAAAACAATCGTTGCACACAATATGCCTAATAATACGATAATTCATAGCAAAGATTTGGGTGATATTCATATGATCGTTAATTATAAGTAAGTTACAAATTAATTTAACAAAATTTGATTTTTTTCAAATAATAATTTTATGTCAAAATTTTGATTCGCAAATTATAGCATTCAACAAATTAATTAAAATTTTTAAAATTTTTATAGATTTAAATTTTTTTTTAAAGATTATTCAACGATGAACTTCTGCAAGGTTTGAAGAGTAATTCTGAATCTTGCTCACAAATAGTACGGTATAGCTGTCATACGGCACCACTTGGGTAAACTTTATAGTTTCTTTTTCGCGCATTTCTTTGTGATTATTAATTTTAATTGAAAAATTTTTTACATTCTTTTAAATGACGAATAAATAAAATTTGAATTAATGTAAACTAAAATTGATAGCAATAATAGATCATTAGAGGTAATAGGTCATTAGAGTGGTGAAGGAAGGGAAGGGACGGTTTTATTTAATTATTTATTTAATTATTTATTATTTAATTATTATTTTAATTTTATTTAATTATTTATTTAATTATTTATTTATTATTTAATTATTTAATTAATTATTTAATTTATTTAATTATTAAATTTCCTGGTATAGCCATTGCCATAAAAAATTTTCGCATCCTTTTAAATGATGAATAAATTCCAAAGTGTTTAATAAAATTTGAATTAATGTAAACTGAAATGGATAGCAATAACAGGTTATTAAAGGTAATAGGTCATTAGAGTGTTTAAGGGAGAGAAAGGACAGTTTCATTCAATAATTCCTGATATAGCCATTGCCAAAGATAAGCATTATCCTGTCCACGCAAAACCTCTTGTAATTTTAATAATACTAAAACATTTCATCTAATGTACCTAATTGGATTAGAAATTCCAACGTGAATTTTATAGATACCAACGTAAGCCTATTATTCCATTATAGAAGAGCTTGAATTTAATCACATTTGAATTGTTTTCCTTTGAAGGTTTGATAAAATGAAGACGTGGTTCAAATCGATCTCAAATGAATTCTTCCGCGGATTTGGCGGAATTGACGGAACATGTCCGTGTCAAAATGATAAATGTACAAGTAGGCATTCATCTTTAGAAAATAAAAATAAAGATTTTATCTTATTTCTGAATAAGAGAAAGCTTATTTCTTGTTTTTATTTTTGAATTCTACGTGATGATCCTACGTGATGTTAATGTAATGCTGTTAATATTCTTGGAGTATTTTAATTGACGTCTGATACATCTTAAATCTAAATTTATCACTTAAGCATATCACATATACAAATCATATAGGTTTTTTTTCTATCAAATTTTATCAAATAAATCTTAACATATTAGCGAATACGTGATTTACGCTCTGTTTACACGTAATGAAAAGACGTGAGTAATATGTACGTCATAAAACTTTACGTCAATTGCAGTTTAGTTTGCACATTCTTGAATAAATTAAACAATTTTTGGAAGTCTTATTTTTATTATTGTAGGATGCTTTTTTTAGAATGTAATTGCGATAATGCTGATATTGCAAATGATTACGGTATAATGACAGATGCTCAGGTGCCAATTCGAGGTATCTATCGATTAAATGATCAATCAGTTGATAAGGGTTATATGACACTTGGACCATTGATCTGCAGCGGAAGTGGTATGTGTTAGCCTATTGTTAATTAAGTTTGACCCCATAAAAATGAATAAAAATTTGTTGCAACTTTAATTTCAGACTAACATTTCTAATTTATTACTATAACAACAGCATTTTTATAAGTTTTGACCCGATCTTATTCTATTTCAATTTGTACCGTATTTAAAATCGAAAACCATAACAATAAGGTCAATAAGGTTGGGAAGAAAAGATATTTAAAGAGATTTTTCTGATTTTCATAAAGGTAATAATTACTAATTAACTTCAAAAATGGATGATCTGTGTAAAGTGATTTGAATAATTTAATTCTTATTTCTTTCTTAATGATCCTTTTGTATTTGAAGATATTTGCAAGTCCAAAAATAAAGCACATCAATTTGAATAATTCGATTAATCATATCAGTGGAACAACTAGTTGAGCAACAAATAATTTGATTAATCATATCAGTAGACTTATGAAATTATAATAAGTGTGTATGTCGCACAAAACCGTTGCAATGCATATGATAATATTTATGATATATTGCTTGCTATAATTTTCAAATACGAAAGACTAAAATTAAAAATGGATGAAACTGAATATGTAGAATGAAACCGTTCGATTGAATTCTTTATCTGCCTAAGAGAAATTAAAAATTACTTTCCAATATTTATTTAATTTTTATCAATCCATTTTCAATTTTCTAATATTCACCCATTTTAGTGGGTCAATCTGATGCATATACAATGGCAATCCGAAAAAAATTTAGCTCGGTAGAAATTGGTACCTGGAACGGTGATATGTTAAGTTTTGAATTTCGTACTTATCTTAAAAGTGCCACATTACTATCATCAAACGATGGAATCATTATGATCACAATGTTGGAGCGAACATTTTATTTGCAAATTAATAGCCAAATTGATTTGTCACTTATTCCACAATCAAGGTTTTTCCATTCTTTTTCTGCATTTATTTGTCGTTGATGATTTTCTTTGCTATCTGATTGCAATGTGTATTAAATACATTCGACTGAATTTTATTTCGATCGAGAAAAACTTATGAAGAATATAGAAAATGAGACAATTAATTGAAATGGTTAATATTTGTAAAGAAAAATACTATTTGTTATAAATTAGGATTTAAATAATCATAATAAGGTTTATGATTTTTCATGATAATAATCGTGATATAGTGAAATTATTTGTTTTTCAGTGTATTTATAAGGTTGTTTTCATATAAATTTTATCATCAAATTTTTACGAAAATTTAAATTTGATCGGATTTTTTGATCGGCTAAATTTGATCGGATTTTTTGATCGGCTTCTAAATTTGATCGGATTTTTTGATCGGCTTCTAAATTTGAACGGATTTTATTAATACTACAAAATTTGAATAATTTGCAAAGTTATGAAATAACAATTTGTCGTTGTCAGATATTTTGTGGGAGAAATCTATGCAAATACTAGACCGAATATTTAGAAAAGAAATATTCAAACCTATTTTTAAAAAATGAAACATTACCTATATTAATAAAAAATGAAATATATCAGTTATATAATTGTGAATTTTTTGAAATGAATTATTAATTTGCAGAAAAAATGATGGATATTGGCATCGAATTATCGTAGATATTCGTGATGGAACGGTACTATTCTCAGTAGATGATACGGTAACAACGGCAGTAATTAAGTATCATTCATTTAGCAATACACAATTAAGTATTGGTGGGTAAGTGAATTTATATACACATATGTAAAATTATGGAACATTATTTACCCGTCTGCTCTTTCTATATTAAAAATATTTTTAAAGATTAAAAATTAATTGAATTATTGTTTTAATAATTAGGAATTTATCATTCGGGAATTTCTATATTTGTTGATAAAATGAATGGTGTTGTAGCACATACATAGGAATGTAATAATATAGCAACAATAAAAATAATCATTTTTTGAAATCTGAAATTTCCTGAAATCCTGAGATACATATTTAAATTGATGTTTAAATGTGGAAAATGTTACAATATAAATTTTACTTATTTCATACAGGCTTTGTTTTAGTGATTTCCGTTAAATACTTTTTAATGACACATTAAAATTGTATATTTAAAGAAGTTGAAAATTCTAGTTTCATACAAATTCTTTTTTAGTGGTCATGATGGTTTCCTGGGTTGTATCCGTCAAATACTTTTAAATGGTACACTTAAAGAAGTGCATCAAACACTACGTAATAAATGTATTAACAAATGTGAATCACATGACTGTCAGCATGAAAGTCGTTGTGAGGAAGATTTTGTTACCGATACAGTAGGATGTGTTTGTAAAAATACAATCGTACATTCGGGAGATTTATGTCAAAATAGTAAGTGTTATCAGATTTCCATCACAAATTACTATAACTTTCGTATAACGAACTGAATACATTTTAAAAATGAATGAATAAAAAGAAGCTTAAAATTGGAATTGTTATTAGCTATGCAAATAATGCTTATGCGATCTTATCTAATCACATTCTTTAGTTATTATAAATAACGACTTATGTGATCTTATCATATTCTTTAATTATTTCAAGAAAATTAAATATGCGAAGAAAAAAACTATTACTGTGGATTATATTAATTACTATTACTGTGGATTATATTAATTACTATTACTGTGGATTATATTAAAAAAACTATTACTGTGGATTATATTAATTAATTTGAATTTAAACTTCATTATAATATCGTACACATAAAGAGAAGCGGAATGGCTGCATGGATTAATAGTAATTTTATAACAGTAATAAATAATCGTAATAGTATTAGTGAGAGCACTGTAACTTATTAATAGCAATTTTGTTACTGTAAAATGCAAAAATAATTTTGCAATGATAGCAATTCATTAACAATAATTATTCGAAATTTTGAAAGGGTATAATACCATATGATCGGTTACCTACGATTATCTTCTGATTTTGTAAATTCGTTCATAATTTCATTTTAGAACACCATGAATAACAGTAAGTTACTGTAAAGTATAATGATTGCTTACCGTAAAATATAATGATTTTTGCAATAAAATCGAAATGTTTAAGGTATTAATTATGGAACGGAAGTAAGTTTTCATGATTCAAAAGAAGCATTCTTAAAAGCTGAAAATATTACTGTAGCAAATACATTAATGCAACGGATTGTATTCAGTTTTCGCACTGATCAACGTGATGCTTTACTAATTTACATACATGATCACTTGTATAATTTCATGCAGGTATAGAAATTTTATTCATTTCATACAAATATAAAAGATGATTAGTCATCTATTAAATTCTTCATCTTTTTTGTAGATTAAAATTTCTTCAGAAAAATTCGAAAAGAAATTAAGCAACTTTTCTTTACCAATTAAAATATTTTGAATGTTACTTTATAATTAAGTCCAAGGTAGGTTTGTATTACTGTAATTATTTAATATTAATCCATTCACATGTTAATTTTGTTTGTATATAAACAGTATTAATTTGTTTCAAAGAAATTTCAAATCAATAATAGGTACACTAACTAACAGGTACACTTATCGGATCATTCACATATGGTACTAACGCTTAATTTCAATCGCACCATTTATCGTTGTGAAGTTGTCGCTAAGATTGGAAATGGTAAATAAAATTTTTGAAATATAATAAATAATTTAAATTAAAAAATTTTTTATAAAAGATTATTTTGGTTGCAAAAACTTTTCTATTAGTTAATAAATTTTCTAAATTAACGCCTAATTGTTGTGATATGTATATATTCGCGAAAAAGCTAAGATGCCATTTTTCGCAAATGTATCATTTATCAAATAATCCGACCAGAATGGTATACCTGAAACCAGAAATATCAAATATTGATTAATATATCCCGTTAGCATTTTAATAATTTTATTAATTGCAGTAATTTAGAAGAAGGAAATCATTTTTTTTTCTAGTATTGTTTTTGCTTCGATTATAGAATACAGTCGAATGAAATGGATTCAAGTGATGATATTTCAATGGATCGATTCTGTTGAATTATACGTCAATGATGAAATATGTCAAATTGCCGGAGAGCATATCCTTTCTAATAATTTCATTCGAAAATTTGAAATTACACATGACATAAATGGTAATTTTTTTTTGACTAAATCTCTGAAAATCTCCAATCTGAAGAAATCTCTGAAGAAAATTATATTTTATTGATTAATTGAATATGAAAAAATTTTGCCAAAATTTAGATATTATTCAACCACCGGTTTCACCGATAACTAATTATGGCATTACTTTCAATTATCCATACGTTTTGTTATTTATCGCTGGTGTACCAACTGAAATTCATTTCGGTAATTTGGAACCAATTTATCGATCGAATATTCCGAATTTACTTGGTTGTATGCGTGGTTTAATGATTGGTGAGAAACTAGTCGATATGCGTAATCAATATTATTGGTCTTATTATCCAACTAAACCAGGTTAAAAATAAAATAAAATTTAAAAATCGAAACACATATACAAATATTGTTGGATTATTTTTAAAAGCTTGAGATCAATATAGAATGATCCAATTAGAATTTATGCTAATTTAACTTCTTCATCGATCCGTTTTTGAAATCTGTTAATTTGGAATTTGATACAGAATTTGACAGCCGCATGAAGAAAATATGACAGTCGTATGAGGGAAAGTTGTAGCGATTAAGTAATATTGCAAATTAATAAGTTACAATAAACAATTTCTTTTTTTGATACCTTCAACAGAATTCAACGATCAATAAAATTCAATCATCTAATTTCAAAATTTTTACGTTTTTTTCCTAAAGGTCTAATCAAATTTGGTTGCGAAATGGGTTGCCACAAAATTGAATATTTATGCAAAAATGGTGGCCATTGTTTAGTACAATGGGAAGCGGCAAAAAATATTGAAAATAGTGTCAGTTGTAATTGCGCCCGAACATCGTATTATGGTGAATATTGTGATACAGGTATATTTTATTGGGAAATATCGGGAAATGTAATTGAATATTTTAATCGAAGAGCTGCAATTGTTCTTTTATTTTTATCTTTTAAATATTCTATTTAATTTTGCTAAATCATTCTTCGGATATAATTAGTCGATTAAGCATTATATTATCGCAATAATTGGAATTTTTATTTTAGAGCTTATTTCAAAGCTACTGAAATAGATGATTCATTTAAGGAAACAAATTATTTGTTGATTTGTTCAATTTTTTGTTTTCTCCTGAAACAGACGTAATAATCACACCTTCCGTGATAGTTCTACGTGTAATAATCATATTTTACGTGAGTATCCTACGTGAATCATACATGAATTAGGCTTACTCATTCGTAACCAAATACTAAATAACAATATAATCATGAAAATCGAATTATTCATTTATTCGACATTATACCTCAGAATTATTTCAATTGTTTACATTTCAATTTCTTAGCAATCTCATTGCAATCATATATTTTTCGTTACTTTGAATTGCTCTTTTTTGACCTTTGACTTTTTGCAATTATTTTCTTACATGATATAGATAATTTCACATGCAGATAATGGAGCATACTTTGCTGGTAATTCAATATTATTGTTAAATACGGCTGAAATATTTGAAAAAGTGATCTTTGATTGGAATGAAGCTGACGAACAGACATTCAGTTTTGCATTTTCGACAACAAATACGGCAAAATCAACAAAGCTAACAAAACCACAGACGCTTGCAACAATTTCTTTTAAGCATAATAAGTTTGTAAAATGTGAAATTTCTACTTCTCAAAATTTAGACAACCATTTCGTAAATGTTCCGCCAAATGTTACATTTAATTTAAATGTAAATATGCCATATGGTATATTTTTTTGTAGCCAAGATTGATGAACGTGATTTTATTAAAATGTCACTTATCAACCACGTACTTTATCCTAGATTATCATTAGATGCAGAAAAAGGACAAATGACGTAGGTGACTTTAAGACGTGATTCTTTCGATAATTTTCTTCTGTTCTAGAATGTTGCAAATAATATTATGCAAAAATGGTTCAATAAATATCGATATAACGTTGAACGATATATCGTTTGTTTACACATTTTCATACAATTACAACGATGGTTATCGGCATTATTTTCATTCACAATTCCGTGCCAACAAATCATTGAAAGTAACGGTGAGATGCTTAGGCATATTCTTTTATTGATTTTCAAACTTCAAAGTACTATTTCTCACATAAATTTTAAATTTATAATTAATAAAATAGAGATAATAGAGTTAGCTGCTCAATTAATGATTGACCTTTCGATAATTTGATGCCTCTTTATTTGCAGAATATTTGGTAAAGTATTTTCATCAAATTTCAAATTGATTCATATATTTATCAAATTTCAGATTGATTCACGGAAGTATGATTTTCCACCAGATTTAACAGCAGGTTTATCACTTGCATATGCGATCAAATTTTCCTTCGGTGGATCATACACTACGGATATTTCAGATATGATAAGAGGTGATAAAAAAACAATGAAGTATAACTATACTGGTTGCTTATCAAGTAAGTTATAAATTTGGAAATTTAAAATTGAATTTGAGTTGCGTAGAAATTTTTGAAACAAAGCAAACCTTTAAAACATATGGAAGAATCCATATAGAATTCATTTCCCATTGTTTTAGTTTATATCATAAAGGCATCTGATTTCACTTTTGCTTCAACATTAATGTCACGTTTGCAGAAGTCATACGTATGCGTCTTAAGACTATTTCATATTCGCATAAGTTGAATTGAATTTGTTGATTTGATATCATTGTTTAACACCATGCTATAATTTTAACTAATCTAATTAGGCATTAACAGTCGATATTTTTGAATAAACTAAAAACAAATGAACAGCTTAAATTACGAAATTATGCGGGGAAAGATAATTTCTTAAATTATCAGATAATCAAAAAATTTTAGACAAAATTTGATATTTTGATATTTATGCAAATTTTCGACAAAAAGTATCCATCTCAAATTTTCAGATATTGATATTGATATAAATGTTGCACGTATGCGCCTTAAGCCCATTTTATATTTGCATAAATCGGAACTTGAATTTGCTGAATCAGTAACAATTATTGGTAATAAAATTCAATTGGGTGCATGCAATTCATTTTTAATTCCTGGAAGTTTACCACGTAAGCGTCTTAATCTTTATATTTCTAATTCTAATTACGACACATTTTCTTTAAATATATATTGCTAGCAAAATTTCCATACTTTGCTTCATCGGATAATTATCGCTTGTTTTTGACTACATTCCGTTATTAACAACGGTTGTGATTTAACTAGAATAATTGATTAAGATGATCTCTTAAAATTAAATACAGAATTAATTGAAATCATGAAAAGTTATGCATACAAAACATTTATTCATGTTTTCCGAATTCGTTTAACGGAAATAGGAATGATTAAAATACCAATGTATTAGACATTCGGCAATACAGTCGAATTAAAAATAATATAAAACAATTTGACAAAGTTTGAAATTAATGAATTCGTCTTTTCATTCAAAGAAATAAAGTGGCAACTACTATTAATCACTTCTAATATTCGCTTGAAAATTTCGAATTCAAAATTGTTGAATTTTTTACAAATTTTCAGTAATACTAAATACTGTAGAAGCACCACTTTGGGATTCACCATTTATCACTGAATCTTATCAACGATCAAATGATGATGAGATGAATGTCGGAGAAACCAGTGATTCTGAATGTATAAAATTAATTTCTAAACTTAGCGGAAAATTTCATTTAGTTAAAATTAATAAATTTGTAAAACTATCATATCTAATGAGCATCATATCAAGTCCTTCGCAATCTTTCTAATGATATTATTCAAAATTAATTTCTCAATTCCAAATTTTAATTATTTATTGCGAATTTTTAGAGAGCTAAAAAAGTTTAATCAAATTTTTATGCATTGAGAAAAATTATCATTCAATTTTCAACTTTACAATTTTGCCAAAATATTTTTTGGCAATAATTTTGGTAAAAAAATTATTAATAATTAATCTAAATTTGAATTTTATATATTTTAGCAATTTTAATGAAAACATTGATAATTAGTAATTAATTAAAAAATATCAATAATTAATTCGCTTTTCTTGTTTTTTTAAAGGGTGGATAGCACCGGTTATTATTACACTTATCCTATTGATAATTTTGGTTGGTATATATATTTACTCAAAATATAAAGAATATCAACAATCACCGATAACATCAAAAGATTCCGAAAGTACTGCTTGTTTTTGGAAAAATTAATATTTTACAAATTTATATAAACTTTTCAACTTTCAACAAAATTTCTGCACTTTGGAGAGAATGCATTAATGAATAAATTAGGAAGAAAAAGTAAACAATGAAAAACTTTTTGTTTTGTTCTAAATTCATTTGAACAATAAATAAGACCGTTTCTGTTTTCAGCTCCGTCTAAAGATCCGGAAATTTTGCCATTACTTTTGCCTAAAAACGGCAAGTTTTCCGCTTTTTCCTTATAATTTGAATAATTATTAGGAGAAATAAATTGCTTTCAAATTTTTAATAGAATTAAACAATCAAAGTTTCACATTTTCTAAAATATTATCACAATATTTATTATCACAAATATTACCACATTATATTGTGATAATATATCACCCATTATCAGGCGATCGAAAAGTTAAAATTCTATTAAACTTTAACTGTTGCAGATGATATTTCAGCTTTCAGAAATATATTTGTCCCCAAAAAGTTAAAATAGAAATGGTTCAGTAAAATGAGAATCCATTTTATTAAACGAAAATTTAATTATTAATAATTTAGTTGAATGAATTTTATTTTATTTTTAAAAATAAAATTTTTACAAATCAATAAAAAATTATTCTAATAAATTTTCTATTCAAATCATGCACAATCATTGTATTATCGTTGAAATTTGCTAATGAAACTGGTTGGTTCAAATTTTTTTGCAGATAAACAAACACATGTTATCAAAAATGATTTTACATTACCGGAACCTGATCAGCAACTTGATGTTGTACCACCAAATCGAAATACTGATAAACTGCAGTCATCGAAAGCAGGAAATTCATCAACTATGGAAGTGGAAGTTATAATTCAACAACCACCAAGCAATTCAAGAGTAGGTTTATGATGATATACACGCAGGCATCATATCTCCTATATAACATAAAATTACTTATCAAAATTTAAATTGCAAAAAGGAATGATTAATTTATGTGAAACAGTTGGCGTGTCAAATCGTTCAAATTTCCTATCATATCTTGAAATTTGCATTTCTAAATAATTTCACATAGTTTCTTTTGTTTTTTTCATGATGACAGAATAATTAAAGACAATAAATTTTAATTAAATTAAAAAAACGGAAAAGTATTGAAATGAATTCGCTCATAAAATTTTATGCAAATTTCACAAAATCTTAATTTACTTTTTATTAGTATCATAAATTATCTGCTTTTTTTTTCTTTCCTTAATTCTTAATTTGTTACTATTACAATTGTGTTGTTATCTGGTTTGTTCTTCGATTAAATTTTATTATTTATAACTATAATTAAGCGTTATGATAAAATCTTTTATCATGCTGCGGAAAATTCAGCATTACTTTATGGCAATTTTTTGTAAACATTATGATAAAATCTTTTATCATGCTGCGGGAAATTCAGCATTACTTTATGGCATTTTTTTAAAAGCTATTTATTATAAGTTTAACGATGGAATTAAGAGATATATGTATACATGAAGAAGTGAATTATTATTTTCATTTTATGAATTAATAATTAATGTATTGGAATTAAATTTGAATCGAATAATTATATGTAAGAAGTGAATTATTATATCGTTTAGTGATTGAATTAATGTATCGGAATTAAATTTTAATTGAATAATATATTTTTATTCCAATTTTTTTTTCGCTGAATAATGCATTTTATAATTTTTTTCCATTCAATTAAAAATTTATCCAAAGGAATTTTCATTTTCTTTTTAAATTCCAATTATTTATTAATCAAATTGAAATTTAAATTTGATAAGTAAAATTTATGTTTGCTAAAGAATTAGCACTTTTCAATAGCTTATTTATGGAATAGTATTAGAATAGAAAATTAATAATTACCACTAAATTGCAAAATTATTATAAATTCGAGTAAGGAATCTTATTCGTTGTTCATAGGTTTCGAGTATTAGTGATGTAAGTGGTATGACAGCGTATTTTACTGCCAATGCAGAATTCTGATACTGATGATGATGATGATGATGATGATTATTGCGTATGACTCTCTCAGGCTGATGATAATAATGATGATGATAGCGATGATGATTGTTTCAATGTTACGTTGATGAATTATAAAACGCAAAATTGTTTATTATCAAATAATGAAAATTTGTAAGTTTCGACTCTTTTTTTGTTTATTTGTTTATTTTTTAAATTAAAAAGAAAATATTTTAATTGCTAAATTTTATGTAACATTTTCCTTTTCTTCAATTTATTTTTATTTGTAAATTTTATTCATTTCAATTCTAAATATTCGATTTTGTTGCATATACTATAAAATATTCAATTCTGTTGCATATACTATTATATATGTGAAAAAGTATTTATTACAATTAATATAATTTTAATTTTTATAATTAATTTCTTTTGCTCAAATTTAATTTTTAAATTTGAGCTTATAATTAGACCAAAAAAAAGTTCGAAAATTTTGGTTAAAAATAAAATTGCTGTTAAATCAAATAAAAATATCAAATGATTAAAATGTAAATTTAGATTTAATATTTTTAGGAGTAGTTTAAATCGTAATTTATCACCACGATCATTTACATTCAAACGTAGCGATTCAACAGCTCCACCGGAATCACCACTTTATAAACCGCCTACAACCGCTAGAAGAATGCTAAAACCTGTGGTACCACCTTGCTCACCACACTCATTAGATGTCTAATTTATTCACTTCAAATTTCGATTTTCTTCTTAAATTAGAAGTGTAATTATTCATTGTTTCTAATTACTAAGCATAAAATTTATCATCACAAAAGAAAAAAGGAAGAGACTTTAGAAAACTTTACGGAAATTTTCTTTTCTTTACAATACTTAATTAAATGTACTAATTATGATTCGTCGTTGTACGTTAAATTATGCTTGAATTGTTTTATGAAGAAATTGTTAAATGGAAGATATAGGTTATATTGGTAATTGATTACTTAAAATAAATTAATTTTGTTTGAAAGATATAAAATGCATTTTAAGTAATAAAAATTATGTTCAATGTTCAATAGCTTTCTCAAAAATGTTTTTAAATAATTACTTAAAGAAAAATTCTGACAATTGCCAAAGTGAAATATACCAAATGTGTAACTCTCTCTAACTCTCTCTCTCTCTGATCGTTTCAACTTTAACTCTCCCTCTGATCGTTTTAATTTCAACTCTCCCTCTGATCGTTTCAATTTCAACTCTCTCTCTCTCTCTCTGATCGTTTCAATTTTAACTCTCTCTCTCTCTGATCGTTTCAATTTTAACTCTCTCTCTCTCTGATCGTTTCAATTTTGCATGATATTAAAATATTATATCAATTTAATGAAATTCAAATTTGTTTTGTTGTTAACCGAAATGAAAACGAAAAGAGAGAGAGAGAGAGATGTATTTCATTGAAAGAAGAAGAGAATTTAATATTGTGATATCACAAGATTATATGTAAAAGAAAAAATGTAAATCTTTAAAGTATAGCATTATTTAATTCGGGTTAATATTTTAAAGTGCAGCAGAGTTTAAGTAAACATAAGTTAATTGATTAATTAAGGTAAATATTAGTTAATTAGCTAAACAATTAACTAATTAGTTAATTTATTAGAACTAATAACATTTGCTATTACAATTATTTTTTACTACAACAAATAACCAATTTTTAGCAATATCCCTTCTTTTATAGATAATATTGCTAAAATTTGATTGATAAGGCAATAGATATCAACAAATAAGAAAAACTTATAAAAAAATAAAAAACAAAACAATCCCGAGAATTTCTCCTAAATTACATATTTGCATAAATTCTTGATCGAATTGAAATTTTAAAATTGAAATCATCAAATTGACAGTCATAAAAGAAATTTCGAAATTTATAAATCACTTTTAAAGATAGTATTTTTATCTCGTAATGGTAATTGTTCGAGATTTTCTGCAGCATTTATTGATGATAATTCATTCCTGAAATTTTAAATTTCACAAAAAATAAATTAACAAATAAATCAATACGAAAAAATAATTAATTAATGCTTTAATTAGAATAAATTTTTTATTCCAAAAAATAATCTTTAATAAATCGTTGAGAAAATTTTTCAAAAATTAAACTTGCTAACTTACTGCTCCTGAATTGTTTTAATGAACGTGGAATTTGCATTATTGGTACTATCACATTGAACGATCGAAATATATGAGATCCTTAGGAAAGTTAGAAGTTGCAAACAAATTAATATGAAAAGCCTGCAAAAAAAACAAAAGTGATTTAATTTATGATTAAAATAAAATTTTAAAAAATTAAATTAGAAAGTTAAATTTTAATTAGAAAGTTAGATAATTAGATAAAGTTAATTAGAAAGTTAATTAGAAAATATTTTAAAAATTAAATTTTCGAATTTACTTTGCAAATGCTTTCAAAAAATATTATAGCATAAATTGTAATTGTTTTTCAAATTAAATTAATTACAAATTTTTAATTATGAATTAAAATAATTTTTTAAAAAGCTTACAGAATGATAACAAATTTAATAGGATAATCAATAGTTTCCTTATCACTAAAATAATTTAATGTTTGTGTTTGAGCATCGCTTGCTAATCGTTGTGCAATTCGTTTTGAATTATCATAAATACAATCATTACTATTCATTGTTTTCGTTTGATCTAAAAATAATTTAATTTAATTTATAATTAAACAAAAAAAAATGCTTTTTTTGTTTTAGGTGGTAAATTTAAAAAGTGTAAAATTTTAAAAAATATTTAAAGTTGAAAAATTTTTCCAAGAAATCATAAAAATTTTGATAAATTTTTCAAATTATTATTAATACTAAATGGTTAAGCTATTAATTAAAATCTATTAGTTAGCAATTAACTAAGGCAAAAATTAAAACATAGATAATTAAATTTTACACTAACTCAAATATACGTTAAAATTTCAT